CCAGGTATTTAGAGACCCTGGATCGGCAAGAAGTCGACGGTACGATGTGGTCTGTGGTGTTCGGCGGATCATCTTCGGTCGATCTGCCGATGTAACCGAAGTGGATCATCTGTCCGAAGTGTAGACTGTATGCCGAGGTGAAGACACTTGGTAGAATTTGAGTACTTTGCAGGCAGCTTGGTCAGAAAAAAAAAAGACGAACAGTCGTAACGGTCAATTTAATGAGAGTGAATGGTTGCGCCGTAATGACCCTAAATGAGGTAACGGTCGACTTTTAATAGGACGCCACGTGCATTTGTAGGTGTCTGTTAGGCGAAGAGGTGGTGTCGATTGGGATTAGGGGTCGCGTCGGTTAGACGCGCCCCTAATTAAAGTCTTTAACGGTCGTGAATCGGCTATTATAAATAGGGTTTTGCAGCGTCTGATCGGACTTTCTTCACCTGTGCTTTCATTCTCGAATTTTCATATCACTTGTTGTTTGAGTTCATCTGATATTCTGAAGGATCTTCTGTACTTGCTGTGTGAGAGATTTTCGGTAAGCTTTTCCTTCAATTTCTTGTGTTATTTTTCTTGTATTTCGTTCAATCGTACGATGGCGTCGAAAGGAAAGGGAAAGGCGGTGGCGAGTTCATCGAGCACGGAGTCGGTTCCGCTGGATGTTTATCACGATTCGGAATTGGTCGAGTTGGCCTTTGAATATCACCGGTGGGACCCGTCGTTGGTAAGGCATCTGAATATCCAGTTAAACGACGAGGATGGTGACGTGGTAGTTGAGCATAATGCAACCGACCTCGCGGTGCCGCATTGGAGAAGACCGGTGAGGAGGTGGCCCGATCCGGCGATCGATTTTATTGGTAAGCCAAGTATTCTTACCGACGCTGACGTCGTCATGTTGAGAGAACAAATTCGGATTCCCCCCTCAGTGAAAATCTTTGCTCCTTATCCCGGGGAGAGAATAACAAGTCCCCCTCCGGGTTGCGTGGGCGTTTTCGCGGAGAGTTTGAGGTCGGGATTAAGGTTCCCGTTGCCAAATTTGATCACGGAATACCTCCGGAGTTGGGAGTTACCGTTGTGCCAAATCACACCGAACAGCTGGAAGAAGATAATCGGGCTAATGGTGTTGCTGCACGAGAGAGGTGAGGGACTTCCGTCGTGCGATGAGATGAGGAGCATTTTTGCCTTTAAACAGAG